AGAGTCAAATGCTGCCTTTAGGTCAAGAAATATAATGACTGTTGGACGCCGGTAGGAATGCCTATGTTCTAGAATCTGTCGGAGGGTGAAGAAATGATCAATACACCCTCTTCGTGGTCTAAAGCCTGCCTGGCTCTCTCGTGTTTGTGCCTCTCGAGCACCACTCAGTCTACGCATGATTATTGAGCCTAAGAGTTTAGATACTATATTAGTCAAGCTAATCCCTCTGTGATTATCACAGGAAGACTTGTCTCCCTTCTTGTATATGAGGATAATCAGTGACTTACACCAACCCGATGGGACTTCTTCTGATTCCCAGACGCTGCCTAGTACCTCAGTTAATGCAGACAGTAAACTGTCTCCACCGTACTTAAATACCTCTGGCGTCATTCCATCAGGTCCCGCTGCTTTGCCTAATGTCACACAAATAAGATTATTTATTTTGACACCCTATAACTAATGTGTTATTCTACGTAAAGAATGTATCCGCCGCATAATTGGCCATTATTGTAACACCAATAAATATTATACTTTATAATTGTAAGAACCTGAAGAGAAATTATTGAAAAGAATACTCTTCGTTCAAATTGACTATAGACGATTATTTCTTAACTGTTTTTAAAGTTTGTCTGTTAGAAATGTCTCTACTTTTTTTTCAGACTAGTTGCATTTTCTTACCTTTCTTTTGCTTAACCAACACAAATCATTTCATGAAGTGGAAAAACGTTATTGGAATCTAAAAATAAAATAAAGTCTTGAATAAGTATTCCCTTGATTGCATACTTATGTTACAATTGTAATTTTTTTCTACAAATCCACTTTTGCATTATATGTCAAATACGTCAACTGCATTGTGTACTGAAGTACTTTTACGTAGTGAGTACGTGTTAATTTTTTTTTATGTATAAATATATATATATATATATATATATATATATATATGACTGACATTTCAGTAGTAATTTCTGCCAATCTAGGTATCTAATTTTCTTGATTTATTTCTGTCTGGGCGAGTAAATAAATACTTTTACTCTTTTGCAAAATAATTTACTAAAGTATATACCTTTCATTCAATTGCACACCTTTAAATAACACCCCTCCCCTCCAGTGAAAATTTGTGTTTTAAAACAACAAAAAGAGTTCAGAACTCATATGGTTGACACAATCCCAGTTCCTACTTCTGGTTCCTTTCACATATAATTTGAGGAATATTAACCTTGTGTCAATACAAAGTAGGAAAGAAATGACAATACTATACGTAATAAAACTATTGTCAACTTTTTTTACTAATTTTACAAGAAGTGAAGCATAATTATTTTTTTACAGTTAAATTTTATTCTGTAAGAGAATATTTTTCGTTTCAACTGGTTTTCATGGGTTGAGGGGGGGTAAAGTGTACACCTTCACTATAGGGTCTTTTAGTAATAGTAATAATGATACTATTTTCATATGAGTAGGCTATTAAGCAGTTAATTTTTTCATGTATACGAAACTTTAGGATGGTGACTGTTCAGTGCAAAGTTGGGTGAAATGTGTGTTATGTTTCCGAATTTAACAGCTTATACCTGTGTAGTGTCCGTACAGGAATTAAGAAAGTATGCTTTGACTAAGTTTCGTATGTTTTGATTGAGGCTAGCCAGTAACTAGTGTATTGTGTCGACTCCTGTCTTTGGTGCAGACTGAATTCTATCAATACCGATTCTGTTAATACTAACAATTCACAGTGCGCACCGTGATGGCGAGCCACCTAGCATAGTGGCCACATTGCAAGCTTGACTGATAGAATTCAGTCTGCACCAAAGATAGAACTAGACACACACACACACATTACACTAGTTACTGACTAGTGTCCAATCAAAAATATCCAATACAGTCCTACAGTAGGTTAATCGCGAGCCTGAATAGCCCAGTGATAACGTTTTTGACTGCACTACTCACTGGGCGATGCGGATTCGAATCCCTGAAGAGATATGAGTCCCTTCAAGGTCTAAAATACGCCTTATTGATGAGTGACAACTAGCACAAAACCTAGGTCCAAGGCTTCTTTCTGATCGCCTCCAACAATCTAATATCAATAACTCTTGTTTCTCAGAGACATCTTCGCACTTTTCGTGAATGCACCGACACATGATGTTTAATTGCTACTGTGGAGCGTACAACCAGGTGTGTTTATCGTCAGATTTCTGAACATCATCCTGTGTGATTAAGCAAGGGATAGACAAGGTTTATTCACAGCCTTATTGTAATTCATCTTTCACTTAATGAACACAAAATCTGTGTTAACAAGGCTTTTAAAGTTATCTACCGTATTCTTACTACTCCCGGTTATGCTTTTCGGGCTAAAATAGTCGGAATCCACCTTAAAAAGTCTACCTTATGTGTTCACAAGGAATTCGTTGAGACGGTTTCCATAACTTGGCCATCAGTGTCCAAACAATATTTAATTGTCTTAAAAACTTCCTAATTGATTTCATTTGATGTTAGGAATTATGTTTTTATTATAGAGAAGATTTGTAGCTCAGGTGGATGATTTTTTTTGATGTGGTTTTGTTCTCTGAGCTGGATGGTTAGTTTGCGAAGCTTTCATCACCTTACTGGGTGACATCTTCAGCGCATACTTCAATTTGAAGTATGCGCTGAAGATGTCACCCAGTAAGGTGATGAAAGCTTCGCAAACTAACCATCCAGCTCAGAGAACAAAACCACATCAAAAAAATTATGTTTTTATGCTTATTATCATGTACACATGTTTTCCTCACTGTATTTCGTTTGATCCTAACAACTCAATGTTGTTTAAAAAAATCGGTATTATTAATAACGACTGTTCTTAAATATTATGCATATATATATGTATATGTAGGGCCTAAATAGCAGAAGCTTTGTAACTCAGATGGGTGATTTTGATTTAGTTGTATTCTCTGAGATGGTTGAGAAACTTTCATTATCCTCCTAGACTGTATCTTCGTCCCATGCTTTAGTATTAAGTCAACTTGTCTGAATTCTCCATGAATGAGACAACTGTATCTCCTGACAACCATTGTCGTGATTGGTTGTAAACTGACATCTTTATTGATCATCTTCATTGACTTGGAATTTGAAATTTCTTGTCTTGTGATTTATTTTTATATTAGTTGGTAAATTGAACCTATAGTGATGTGTTTGTTAGTGGCTGATTCATCTGAATGCTAGGCTTCTAGAAATTCCCTTGGCATTTTCGGTGTTTCCACTGTTTTATATTTCTACATTTTTCCAGTCAAACTGATGTCCATAGGCATCAGGGTGCATCGATATGAAAGAATACATGTCGTGTCTTTCCACAGATAATTCATGATCTTGGTTCTGAGTCAAAGGTGATGCCTACTTTGAAGAATGTAGTGTATACTGCAGTGCATGCAATATATTTTGTAAATGATATTGTTCTTATAATCTTTTACTGTTAGATCATTTAGTCTGCACAATAATGGATGATTTTACTGGCTTGTGTGCTAAATTTATTTCGAATGGTCTTAGTATTCAGTCATTATTTCAGACACAGTCTTCAAATAAGGTAACACGAGTTTTCTTATTCTCTTTGAGGATGGTTTGTTGTTGATATTTCTATTTGACTTTAAACATATTTTGATGAAATTGTATAGGTATTGATTCTTCATGGAGACAGTTTGTAGAGAGTTCTGTCCTTCCCTTCTGTTCTCTTCAGCTTCAGAGTTCTGCAGTGTGTTTGAACTCTTTTAAACAATGTTTGCGCTCAGTTTATTTTGATAGTCATTGGGTTATTCCATATTTTATCTCTGTGTGTTGATTTTCTATGTACTTGTGTTTCTAAATTTCTTGTGTTAGTTCCCTTAATAAAAACATCTAAGAAAGAAACTTGTTGCCTGATTCTTCTTCCCTTGTTAATTTAATGTCTTCGAATTTGTTGCCGATCAGTTAGTAGGTACATTTCAAATCAACCCAGAGTTCAATGACATAAATTATCTGTGAAAAGACACGACATGTATTCTTTCATATCGATGCACCCTGATGCCTATGGACATCAGTTTGACTGGAAAAATGTAGAAATATAAAACAGTGGAAACACCGAAAATGCCAAGGGAATTTCTAGAAGCCTAGCATTCAGATGAATCAGCCACTAACAAACACATCACTATAGGTCCAATTTACCAACTAATATAAAAATAAATCACAAGACAAGAAATTTCAAATTCCAAGTCAATGAAGATGATCAATAAAGATGTCAGTTTACAACCAATCACGACAATGGTTGTCAGGAGATACAGTTGTCTCATTCATGGAGAATTCAGACAAGTTGACTTAATACTAAAGCATGGGACGAAGATACAGTCTAGGAGGATAATGAAAGTTTCTCAATTAAATCAGTGAGCTCAAAGAATACAACGACTTAAAACTGTGGAGCTTGACTAGGAGGTTTTCGAAAAGCTTATTCTTTGCTCAAACTTCCTTTTGTCGCTATAATAAGTAACATTTTCTTGGTGTCATTATATTCTCTAAGGTTGATGATTGAACTGGGAATCTTTTATTATCCTTCTAGACAATATCTTCGGTGCTCATTTTCAAAATGAAGTAAGCTTTTGAAATTCTTCGTAAATGAAGACACCACGAGTTATTTTATGGAAAAGTAAAATTTTCATCTTAGAGAACATGGTGACGCAAAAAAATCCACCTGTACAGCAAACCACCTCTATTACTTTATAATAAGAAATAATAACAGTTAAAATATAAGATTTTTGCGGAATCAAAGTCATAAAAATATAGTGGAAGTAACTAATCCAACTGGAATTGCTCATTTACCCCCCACCCTCCATGTAACAGTGTATTTTCGTCTATTACATCGAAAAAAAAACATATACTGAATTGTGTTTTGTGACAATACCAATATTCTACCCTTACAGTGATGTGAAATGTTTATTTCGAAAGATTATCTAGAATACTGTATATTTTGAATGCTGTTTACTTTTTTACACTTTGGTGCTCCTCTACAGTATGAAAGTAATCATCCTGAGAGACAAACCGATCAGAAGATATCTCCTGCAGAGTTTATTAATCGAATAGATGAGTTGAAATCCCTTCTACCTGATCGAAAAAGTCGTCGTAGCCGACGAGCAAATGAATCATCCTCCAGTATACCTAAAATTGATCAATTACAGTCAGATGAAAAAGCCAGCACACTTCTTCAAGAAATAGGTACGTTTCTATTTGCCTTTCATATTTTTATTTTCAGTTATATACTTTTCTTTATATATTTATTTATTTATTTCAGTAAAATTATTATTTTATGGGTTTTTATCACTGAGACATTTTCTGGAGAAATTTTCAAAGTGAACCAGTTATTTATTTGTGTTTTCTGAATTGTGATCATTATCTTGATGTTTATTTTCCAAAATTTTGTACTTTTCTGATTGATAATCGATCGATTGACTTGTTCTGAGGCATGGTAATACTCATTTGTAATTGTAATCTTCAGGATCCGAATACCAGTAAACCAGAGAACAACTTAGAAAGGAGAAAAGTCAGAAATTCGTTTACAATGGAGTTATTTGTATTGTATAACTTTGAAAGAAGTATTTCGTTTTATAACACAAAGTAAAAGATTCCAGTTTTAGGTTGTACTAGTTATGTTGTATTCGGTATTATTATCAATATACCTTCGGGTTTCGAGTAGAGCATACAACTTCAACAACATATCTCCATTGTGTCCTGTCCTCCATATTCCTCCTTAGCTAGCCTCACGACAGCTCATAATTTCCCATCTCCTTCTCGGATGATCACCTCCATGTCACCATGTAGCTCACGCCAACAGTCATGTCTCATTAGGCTTCCACTCAAGTGACTTACAAAAGATTTCACACGAAAATCTCCTCAGAGCGTGTCGTATCCCTTTTCATTCTCTTCAGCATATTTATTGTGAGACAGGTAATCGGTTGGTTCGTTGATATAATTCCTTATTGATAATCCTTTTTAGCCATCTGATTTTCAGTACAGTGCGAGGGTAACTGCTGATAAAAGTTTTCAGTCTACTGGGAATGCTGCTGGTGACACACCAACTCTTTGAACCATGTAGAAGTACTGACTGACTGACTCAACATTGATGTTAAAATTGAATCTTGTTTTTATGCTGATTTTCAAACTGGTTTTATATTACTGAATGTCTGTCAAGCTTTCTCGATCCTAGGTGGTTTTAACATCCTTATTTGTGCCGTCTGGAGTTGAAATAATACTGCTCAAATAAGTGAAGGAAGTGACCTCTTCCATTGATAGTGATTGGTACTTCTTGTTGTTAGCCGTTAAGTATCTTCATCACCTCTGTCTTCTTTATGTTCACTTAAAGTCTTGTCTTCGCTGCCCGCCTCTTCCTCCAACTTACTGGTTTCCCCCTGTAAGTCTTCGAATTTATATTACACTAGACATAAATCGTCCTTGAAGTCCAGATCTTCTAGAGTCTACTTATCAACCCAACATATTCGTGTCTTCTTGCTCCACATGGTGTAACACTGAATTCAGTTCACCGCAATAAGGAATATTATCGATCATAGTAGGCAGTTTTGTCTCACTCTTGTCTTCACTTTAGTGTTAATTGCTGATAAAAGTTGAGTTGGATAGAGACGTGGTTGAGAATAATCTGAAGTAATGATTAGGCGTAAGATAACTACTGTTCTTACTAATAAACTGTTGGTTGAATTAGGGAAGGCAGTTGATGACTTCCCGAATATTGTTAAACAAGTCTTTAGTAGTACATCACCTATTCTAAATTCAGACTGATAACCTATAGACACAGGAGGACTAATTATTTAGATAATAGTGAATATGATTACAAATGTTACTACACTTCCGTTACTTTGTTAGCTTTATATGTGAAAAATTTGTGGAAAAATTGTTATGACGTAATGATACACTGTAATCATTAAATAATAAATAATTGTCCAGGTATATTTTATTTCATCATTTTTCTCATTTGTTAGCTTCCGCCTTCATCAGTTGAACATTATACTGAAAATTATATTTTCTGGTGTATATAAATATTTCATTAGTATACTTCAATGTCTTACATATATATTTCCTCACTCTGAACATGCTATACTGTTAATTTGCTGAAACAGAATCATAAATACTTTCTGTGGTAAATTGCCTTTATGTTAATTATGTTTATAAAACTTTTAATTTAGCTTCACTGTCATTGTACAACCGTGATTCAAATTCAAGTACAGATTATCGTAGCAGAAAAACCAGCTCAAAAGAAAATATCAGAAGAGATACTTTAGATCCAGTCTCAACACAAAAGTTGTAGTGAGTTTCCTATTTACCTGACTAATTGTCTCTTAAGTAATTTTACTCAATCTTACATGTTATTATACCAAACCATCAGTTAAAACAACTTATTCTTCTCAATATTTCTGATGAATATTTCAAGTTCAAAGACAGAGTAGACAAACAGGCGTACATTGTGCCATCATATTCTCATATGTGCTCCTTCTTGACTGACTACTTTAGACAAGCCCAGCCTGACAACAGCAGTCAGTATATCCATTGATGAATATCTGATTGAACAATTATGAGCACAGCACTTAGACTGTTAATTAATAATGTCGTATAATTTCGTTATAAGCTGTGGGTGACTTCCACAAATCATCAACTTTTCTTCCAAAAGAATAATAATAATTTGATTTATGCCAAAACAGTACTTGTGATACAGAATGGAATTCTCAGCATTTTACTACAGTATTGCATCCAGTTAGTACATTATCAATAAATAAATTCTACATAGATTAAGGGTAATCTCAGTTAGTTTTGACAACAACATATTGGCACATCGGTAGCAAGCCAAAATTGAACAGTTTTTAGGGTGTTAGAAAAGTAGATGGTAGCATATTTACTGGTGTAAGCGGTAACAAAAAGATCGAGATATATAGAGTGTGAAAGAACGAAGAAGAATGTTTTAAATAGACTTCGTAAAGAAGAGAGAAACAAAACAGCACATAACAAAAAAAGAGGAAAGGAAAAGAAAGAAAGAAAACGTCTTACCTATAAATGATATGAGTTGGAAAGACCAGATCCGGTTATTCTACTGACTATTTAATAAGTCAAGTTTCACGCCTAATGCTTTCTTTATCGCACAGAACACGAGCTAAGTAAGGTATAGATGAGTTTTTGTACTTACTAGTGCGGGCATATAGTTTCCTATATAGGCTTCTGGTTTTCCCTGAAGAGATACAAGGGGAGAGTTGTGAATGAAGAGGGTTGTGTAAGTTAGATAAAATGGATTTTGCCCATTTTTCACACGAGTCCAAGTGCCTGTCGACCAGAATATTAACAAGCTGGTTAAATGGCACGTAGCTTACCCTGCTGACAACCTTTAACATCCTGCGTAATAAGGTATAGTCTTTCTTCAGTAGTCCTGTGAAAACCAAAGGGGAACAATAGAGATTAATAGGCAGGATGCAAGAGTTAACGAATCGTAGGAGTAGGGCTTGGGTTACACCAGAATGTCTTAACTTCTTGATGTAGAAGGTAAATATTTTCTTAGAAATCATCAAGATATAAGACGACCAGGAAAGATTAGCAGAAAGAATGACGCCTAGGTATTTAATTTCCGACTTAGTTTCAATTTCAGTGCCATCTATGTTGCACACCTCGTGAGTGCTAACCAGTTTGTTTAGGTCAGATTTATGCCTAAAAGTGAGATTGACTGTTTGGCATTTAGAGGAATTTAAGGTTAGACCGTTTTCCTTGGACCATTGGCTGATTTCTGATAAAAAGCCATTTAGTTTGGAGCAGTCACTTTGACATTTGACAGGCAAAGATACAGTCAGGTCGTCAGCATATTTGACAAAATTAATGTCATTTGAAGATGATACGTGATGTAGAAAGAAAGAAAAGAGAAGTGGGGAGAGTACAGCACTTTGGGAAACACCAGCTTCAGTGAGCACAGCAGAGTAGGATTTACTTTTGTATACAGTGTACTGCATTCTTTTTGAAAAGTAGGAATGCAAAGAGTTTAGGTATATAAGCTGCTTTTTTATTTTAAAGTACGTAAGGTGACACTAAGCATTATATATATATATATATATATATATATTATATATATATATATACGTGAATATGTGCGTATTTCAAATATCGAAATGGCAAATTTACATTAGTTGAAGTCTTAATTCTGTCAATACTAATGTCTTCGGCAAGATCTCACAAAATCAAATAATTCACTTTCGAAAGGACCAGGCAGACATGAAGGCTTCATAGGGGTAACTATCATATGCTTAACCCTATAGCAGGATTTTATAAGAAAAAAATTGATTATTTTTACTCAAAAAGCGAATACCTTTTAGGTTTTTTTTGTCTTGCGACTTTTAATCGCTAATTAGGGCTTATATATTTATATATTTTTGTATATATATATAAGCTGGTATGATGTTCACAGCATGTGATAGAGTTAATGAAGCCATTCAATAATTGGACTGAAGATTTATTAATTAGAAAACCTTATGCCTCAAACTACCATGATAATTGCAAATAATAATCACTAGAATAAACAATATTTATCTGTTTCGTAATATCCTTCATATAGTAGTGAAAAGTAAGACAAGATAATTAAAGTAATAATTTATTTTCCAAAGACTTATGAAGGCAAGTTTACTCCAATGAAGTTGGTTATAAAACAGAATGATGAGAAAATTTACTCATTATAAAGACACTGAACAATCGTTGAAGAGAAAGTTTTTTAAAGTGTTACGCGAAATTGCTTCAACACTACATAAAAATGTCGGTAAACAAATTACACGTAGAATGATTCTACTTCATTGTGAAAAGTAAGAAACATTCTATACTGGCTAAAAGCACCTCTGTTTTTGACTATTATAAACGCTGTTCAGCTTGTCTTTATTTAATAAAGATTTATTGATTTCAAGCTAACGTACAGCTAAAATTTACCTAGCGGGTAGTAAGACCAGTTAAGAGGGAAGGCTAAGAATAAAGCTATTTACCCCACCCACTAAAAAAACACTACCGTTGTAACAACAGAAGACAAGGGCCAGGCAACAGATCGTTTATTTACGAAATCAACACGTATTTATAAATTCTCATGTACATTGTTATAGATTATTGTTAGCAGAAAAACACAGTCTTCTGATTGGTTGTTTCTCACTGAAAGTTAATCTTTCATCTCTTTGTGGCTTTTCTTGAATGTCAGATCATCTATATGCTAATTGTATCCGCCTACGCAAAGTCTCTTGTGGTTGTCTGTTAAATCAGTTTTTGTTCTTATTTTTCTCACGACCAATATTGTGGACGTAAACATTGACGTAAATTGCTGTCTACCGATTTGGCTAGCAGCCAGTTCTCACCACACCGTTACTTAAACTCCCAAAGTATGAAAGCCTCTGTTCTACACAGAACGCATGGAATATTTAAAAGCAAAAGAGTATAGTAGCACTCATTAGATTTCGACTCGAAGTAGTCTTTATCTAGACAACTGTTGATTTGTTTTCGAATGGTTACCATCTAAATGACTGAAAATATCTACATTTAAACTATACCTAAAGTGAACACTTGCTAACGTTAAAATACTTCAGTCCTGAACATAAATCTTGTTCGTAAATTTTGTTAGCAAAAATGTACCCCCTTAATATAATGATTATTATACATTTATATTTCCTCTCGCCTTATATTAGCGATGTGAATCTGATCGTGGACACAGTCGAATATCCAGTGGAAATTCTTCAAATTCTGATTGCTTCAAACAAACACTTTTAAAACCAGAACAAGCTTCCACCTCTAAAGTGAATAAAATTGAAACATTTTTAAACGAAGCTACTCATAGAATAAATGAAGATTTTTGTAATCAGCATAATCTTTCTCTACCTAAAGGTCAATTAGTAACTATGATTCGCTCCTACGATTCAAACGGCAATAAAGATTGGAGTTTAGTGAAATTTTATCCATACGGTGAAATGCGATTTGTACCGAGCAATTGTCTTGAAACAGTTAAAAACTCCTAGATGTATTCCTCTTACAGATAATATTATTATTATTATTTTTGTTTTTCCCACAGATTTTTTCATCCCTTTTACTACAGGGTTATCATTTAACTGTGATAAAACCATGTGGTTATTTTGCATTTCGAATAAGATAATAACGACATTTATATATACATATATTGGTTGCGTGTCCCTTAAAACAGTTGAGTCTAACCTTTCTCTATACCTTTCTCATCTGATGTATTCATTCATACTCCCCCCACCCCTCCAAATCATGTAATAATTAAATTATATTTTCAATTCTAAATTTTTCACAGAATTTCAATTTCATATATTTTTGATGACCAACCTATAGATTTCTCGCTGTTTCATTACAACATGAGACACTCACTAGTCTTTTATACTTTCTGACTTTTTAATTGGTGTATGGTGACTAGCAGTGGAATCCAGGATGCGCATTTCGTCCTATTAGAGCACCCTTGATCCCACTGCTATTCACCATCCACCAATTAAATGCTAATTAAATGCCCAGGCATCGTCGAAGCATCTGCACAAGAAGCCGACATGTCAACCTAAAACTGAGCACTTGGGTCCAATCAATCGACGGGAAAATCAAAAATTCATTTAAATTAATGTGACCCGTTGCACAAGAGGTGGCTCTCGCGGCCAAGTGGTTTAGTGGATAACGCTTTGGCATTTGAAGCTGTGGGCACTGGGTTCGAGCCTCGGTGGGAACATCATCACTCATTGAGAAATGCAGGTACATCCAGATGACGAGTCCCAAACAGGACGAAATGCGCATCCTGGATTCCACTGCTAGTCAACATGAGACCTAGCACTTTCTGACTTTGCCAACTGTAAAGATTAAGCAGAGTCCAAATAGTTTTTTGTTCAAAACTGACCATAAACTTACTAGTAGCTGAAAATACTACTAAAATTGATTTTCACTTTAACTTCCATTGTACGATTAAGTGGGGGGGGGGGGGAATAGGTGTTATTGCAAACATTTTCTGCACATGGATGGAGAAAATTCACCATCTTCAATTTTACTATTCATTTCATCAGATTATATTTATTATTTCTCTGTTATTAGAAATAAAATTCGTTTGACAATTTCCAGCGGAGCTGATGTAATACGACAAAGGAATTCAAAAGTAATTGATTACCGTATTATTAATTGTCGTATTTTTTTAAAATATAAATGAAGTTAGAAGGTTTAAGTTTGTTTAAAGATGATATTTTAAGACCATATATTGCGAATTCAATTTTAATTCATGGATAATCCCCATCCAGGCATTAATGAAAACAAAGCACGTAGATCAGCGAAGAGTCTCTTTTCGGTGAATTCATTTTCTTAGCTGTACAGTCGCAAATATATATGTGTTACTTTGTATGTATGTGGCACAGTGGTTAGGACTCTCGCCGACCATGCACATGGTTCGAGGTTCGAGCCCACGCCGACGCACACCTGATATCTATGGTCGGCCTGCGAATTTTGGGCTACCGATATCCACGCTGAAAATTTCACACTTGTCCCAAAAATGCGGTGTGGAATCAAGCTGTAATCAAAAAAAAATTAATGAAATTAGGGTAGTAACAAAGGTGATGAGTTGTCACAAACAGTTGTTAAAAGAAGTTATGTAATAATATGTATAGTTTGATGAGTTAGGTTTACTCAGGATGCACATAGGAACAAAGTAGATATTACGAAATTACGAAGAGTTCTGAATGAATACAAAAATTATAAGCAATTAAACAACAGGCAAAGAAACAAAATTAAGTCATCAAAATCCAAAAAAATCAAATCAAAAACGTTGTTACCATGACAGTAGAAATAGTTGAGTAATCTTCCTTTGTATGCACAGCTCCGGTTTTTTATATGTGAATGGCCAGAACTTCAGCGACACAAAGAAGACGAAACCGTATTGCCTTTGATAGGTTATTCTTGACTCTGTAGATTACTTTGAAGGAGGCGTTTGTTGAAATGGAATGATCAGTGTTAACCAGGTGTTCAATTATCGCACTCCTTATTGCACCACTATTGCATTTTCGGAACCATGCTGGCTGGATATTGTTCTTGAATCCTATTGGACAGGATGTGCGTCGAAGGGCCTATGCACCTGGTTCCACAGCAGGTGGACTGATATATGCACACAGAAATGGTCAGATGCGGGATCTTGTACTTAAGGCTTCTGCAGATCAGTTGGCGACTGGAGAACACTATTCTTAGCTTTGCTGCAAAGAATGTTCTTCTTAGAGGTGATGTGATCCTTCTCTTGAGAATATCGCTTGCTAAATCTCCCTTGAAATCCAAGTTCATGTAAAGTTTCTTTTTCAGCGCAATTAAAGTTTCGTTTCTCCGATTTCTGGGTTTGATATTTATGTCAATGAATCTTGGTGGGTATCCATTTTGGATGAAGATTTTTCTTAGAATATCTGATTCTATTTCCAGAACATCGGGACTACAGATGTGTCGGATGCGGGGGGCAATTCAATTTAATTCTTAGTGGACTAATACATGGGTATAAGAACAGTGATATGAAATCGACACCTTAACTGAATACCAAATACTGTCCTACGTCAAATGCCTTCTGATTTATTCGATCAGGAGAGTTTCAAATGGCAGAGACTCGCCTGTGACTCTCAAGACAACTTCGTTAGACGAAAAAATAGAAGAATTATATATATATATATATTTTGATAGAGAAAGAAAGACCAGATTTGCAGTATAAAATGATATCATTCTATTTCACACGTTCTCATCAGCTGCAAACTACCTGAAATTACAATGGTTATAAATAATAACATTTCATACTTCATTGTTTGAAAGGTAATACGAGAAAGCACTATAAGGTGAACGCATCTGGAATATAAGTGTTATAATCTAAGTCACCATCAATTTATATACTGTCAAACTATGAAAGAAGAAAAAAGGGGTGTGTGAGAAGACAGAAAACAGAAGAATCTAATAAACAATGTCAACACAGCAACTCAAGAAGGTCAAAGTACATCAATTTGAAAACTTGCTTAGTGAGTTGAGCTCACTAGTGTGTGTGACTAATCAGTGTAATGAAAGTGATATGGTTACCAAGGGAATGAGAGATTGACTACACTCTCTTTCTGTGTGCATAAGTGTGGTCTGAGGCATTTGATTGCAATTGCTTCAGCAAATCGTAGTAGATTCGCTGTCCTTTGTATGTTTAGTATTTTGAAGGATTTGTAAATCTCGACAAAGTGACGCGTATGCAGAAGGTGTCTGGTAATTGCACTTTGTAAATATCTGCTTCCTTTTAAGCATAAGTTTCTTGGAATATGTTCTGAAAACCGGATAGAAGCCCTTCTTTCTGTCCTTCCAATGTACTTACTACCCCAGGTACACGTAAATTTATAAATGCAGTTGGAGGTAACATCAGCAGGATACTTATCCAGTTTCGATTGCCTTATAGAGCATGTAGTACTGTATAGTGTCACCAGATTGGCTGCAGGGAAGCATCTCTTTATTGCTCCCTTCATCCTCTTTTCAATCTTTTGCGATACGGTTTCTCCTTTGTATGGAAGGCAAATGAACACTTTCTTCTTCTCAACTGTTGGAGATTTCTCTTTCTCATCTCTTTCTTTGCTGTACTTTAGGATGAATCCTTTCGGATAGCCGTTTTCCTTAAGGAATTTTTCAACAAAGCTTAATTCTTCTTCTACCTTGTTAGGCGAACATAACTTCCTGGCCCTGTCGTATAATGTCCTTACTAATCCCTGCTTATAGCTCATAGGGCAGAAGCTGTTATAATGAAGGTATTGTCCGGTCCAATTTTCTTTCCTGTAGATGGACTTTTCGACCGTTCCATCGTTTCTTCTTTTTACATTTACATTTACTATATATATATATATATTAACACACACAATATACGAGGTCATTAGTTTTATAAGGTTGACGATTTAATATGAGGTTTTCTGATATGAAGCCTTCTACATGTATGGATTAAGATTGTTCCATCAGAAATGTCAAGATTATTGCTCATCTGATGTAGATGGGTCAGTGTATAATGCAATGTGACAGAATGCATAGGAAAAGTCTCTATCCATTTAGAAAATGGGTTAACACACGAAGAAGTGTAGTAAAATGAAAATGAACACAAAACCGTGGTTCGTCTGGAAAGTAGCTATGCATTTTGTTAATACTTTTCTGCTTCAGCATTCGTCATAGTGTGTCTACCCCACCAAATTCAAAAATTTGCTTATATCTGACATCAAAATTACGGCTTAGAAAAACAAGAGCCCGTTTTTGCAAACTATTTACAGTATCTATCGGACTTTTCTTCTTCCATTTAAAAATCTCCAACAGAGGGTTGTGGTTGGTAAAGAAGACAGACCACCGGCTATACAGTATTTTCTGAAGCTTTTTCACTTCCATAATAAGTGATAAATCTTCTGTCGCAGTATGGTTGGACTTTCCTTTGATCGTATTTAACATTTTAGACGCTCCATTCAGGAATTAATTAAATAAAACCGCATCAGTATTATAATCTGATGCGTCTGAATCGATGCGAATTTCCACGTTTGGATCGTAATAATTAAATATTGTACCTGACTTTATTAGCGATCTCAATTATCCAAATTTATTCTGATACTCAGTAGACTAAACTTGTTTTCATTATATTTTTAGACAACAAGAGATTTAATGGAGCATGTATGTTATGAAACCAAAACTGAGCTTAAAAATAGTTCATGTTGAATAGGCAATAAATAACCATGGTTCCCCTATTATTATTATTATTATTATTATTATTATTCAAGTGGAACATGGGGCCTCAGCAGTATATCCCCATTTCCCCTTTTTCTCGGCATATTTTTTGGGCAATACGTTTTTGATTAGTTAGGTCCCAGAGTTCGTTCCTGCTAATCTCTTATGACCATCTGATCCTCAGTAAGCAGCAAGGGAACAGTTGTGCTGGTAAAAGTCTGCAGCTTTTGGTGACACATCAAGCCTCTGAACTATGTCGAATCACTTACTTACTTTTTTACTTTACTTCGGCTATCTCCTACGGGAGGATGAGCCGGCTT